TGTGGTGAAACGGAGCAGGCCGTTTTGACGCTGAGGTTGGTTGCAACGAATGGCGTGCTGAACATGTTCGAGGCCAACACCCACTTCGACACAAACAGCTGCCCCGTGGCTCCTTGGACAGCATTGATGCGGGCCATGTGGGGTGTTGCTTTGAGGATCGAGGAATGGCGGTAAGTTGTGAAACACGTCGACGTTCTTGATGCTATAGCTCTTGATGCTGAAATTGTAAGCGCATAGCAACTTCATGCTAAGAAGCTGTTTCCTACAGCACGAGCGTCTTAGATCAAAGGTGGACGTCCCGTGGTTGTCGGCCGCCCACGACGAGGCACGGCAAGCTGCAAGTGCGCTAGCAGCTAGCATCGAAGCTGGCGAAGATGTCACGTTTGCATGGCCCATGTGTTTTCAGTCAGGCCGGCTTTTGGTTGATGCTCGTGGGGGCGCTTCTGCTTGGATGCTCGGCAGTTCTCGTTGCAGTATCTTGCCGCCATTGCCGCAAGAAGGCCTCTCAAGTTGTGACATGCTAAACGAGATGGCGTGCGCGTCCTAAAGCGCCCGCAACCAGTCAGTATAGGCCTTGCGGCACCAGGCGCAGATCCAGCAGTTTCGAGAGACCGCCACTGCCGGTGGAGCAGAGCCTGTGATCGGCAGGCCATACTGTCGAGTGCAGCATACAGGGGTGAGCGACAGTCCTAAACAACAGTTCGATTCCCCCTGTTCTAGCTACTCCGCTGTTTGGCTAGGCCTTGCAGCCAGATTGGTGGGGCAAAGATCGTGGATGGACAGACGCCGGACCGCGTTGAAAGCTTTTGTCATGCATTCACGTACTAGGTTTGATTGAAAGCTGAGTCGTACAGCAAAGTGCCCACTGTCTGGAGGTCACGACACATGCGACTTGCAGAGCACGATGTTAGACTCATGTTGCTAACCCTTTCGGCACACCGACAGGACATGCCTGGTGCGGGCAATGGAGCTACCGACCCAGACAGCTGTGTGTAGGCCGCAGGCACAGGTAATTACATGTAGTTTTATTGTACAGATGCTACTCATGGCTTGTAAATACCTGTCGGCACTCCACCGAAAAGGTGTGTGTGTGTGTGTGCACTTCCTCTTTATAACCTCCAAATGATGGAACAGCTATAAGGCATGTTCTCTCGCAGTCAGGGCTCATGATGCCGCTTCTGCTGCAAGCAGTTAGGGCCACATGTCTTGAGTCTTGACCTTGTGAAAAATGCGAAAGATGCAGATTTTGGGCCGCTCAAAGGCCGATCATCCGGCTGCATTCGTGGGAGACAGCTCTGGCACTTGACCAGATCCTGTTCCTCCCAGGCACATGCAGGTTTCGAGTTGTGGCACCCACTTCGGGAGACGTATGGGGAGACAAAAGGAAGCTGGGGAGGCGGATGACTGCCGTGGCTTTGAATCGCGAGAACTTCCCTGTCCTCTCACAATGCATCCTCCTTATCCTGCTTCACGTCTGAGTCGCTTTAGTACTGGCTGTGCTAAGAGTAGCTTGAAGCTTCATTTTGGCTCGACACTGCTGGCTCCTATATCGTGCGCCGATCGGAGTACGACGGACTGTTTCGTCTTGCACCAGCTATGCACGTGTCGTCATTCCGGTCATGTCAGACAGAATTTGGCTCAAAACAAGGCTTATGTCTAGATGTTCTCAAGATACTGGACGTGCTGTTCGAAAGCATTTGCTCACAGGGATAGGGGACCATCGACGAAGGACCGGCTTCAACCTAAAGCTTGGCTACCATTTCATGGCAAAAAAGTTCCACCCTGCAGTACCTGCTGCCGGTCGAGTGTTGGTTCAACAGTTCATGTTTGGCTAGCTTGAGCTCAAGAATCGTCCGACACAGCGTCTTTTGTCCTGTCATGTGTCATAAGCTTCATGACTCTATGTCATCATCGTGCATGTCAGGCTGCCATGTGCTAGCCATGTGCTAGCCGGTGTAGCACGGCTCCAAGTCATTCCCACACAAATCTTGTACAGGTACCCGCCGACGGGCTCCAATGCATCGGGTGTTGTTGTCAGCATTCCTTTTACAATTTGAGAAGCTACGGGCACGACGAGGTGCTTGGCCTTTCATGGCCCTGTGCCTGCCGCCTCAAAAAATTCAATTACTGCCCGTGCTGACCTGGACGACGCCAGCTGTGCCATCACGCTGCCGAGGTGGGCAGATTGAGTCGAAACACTAGATAATCAAAATACGTAAACTTTCCTAAGCCCTCAGTATGGCCCTGCCTGTGGTTGATTCCCTTAGCATCGAAGGACTCATATTTCAAGGCTTTTGGGCCCCAAGACCCTNNTTTGTGCTATTTTGATGCTAAGGGATTGGGTCTACACAGGCCTCTCGACTTGAACCTTCCGCAGACCAGTGTTGTTTGGGGCGCAGGGTTGGGTATGTAAGGGCTCCAGTGATCGAGGGAGCGTCTAGCTACGGGGGCCTTGATACTTAGAATAGGGTT